GGGGGGGGGCGAGGGAGACGAACCGCCACGAGCCACGACGAAAACAAAGGGTCAATGGAATTTGACATGTTCACCTGCTCGTGCAGCCCCAGGATCATCAACCACAGCGATAAAACAATTGAGGGGGGGGCACGGAGAGAAGGAGAACGCCGAGAGAGAGAGAGAGAGAGAGAAATAAAGAAAGAGAAAGAGAAAGAGAAAGAGAAAGAGAAAGAGAAAGAGAGAGAGAGAGAGAGAGAGAGAGAATCAGAGAGACACAGACAAAGAGAAAGAGAAAAGAGGGGAGGGGAAGATGGAGAGGAGGAAAGAAAAATCCAAAATTCAAAACTTATTATTTTTTGTCAGCGCCCAATGGAAATTGAAATTGCCACCTGCTCGCGCAAGGCACCAGGAAAACCACACACAGCGATGAGCAAGTTCAGGGGGGCGCGGAGAGAAGGAGAAAGGTTGAGAGATATCTAAAGAAATAGAAGGATTAAGACAGAGACAGAGAGAGTGGGAGAGAGAGAGAGAGAGAGAGATAGGAGAGAGAGAGAGAGAGAGAGAGAGAGAGAGAGAGAGAGAGAGAGAGAAAAAAAAAGATAGAAAGAGGGAGGGAGAGAGAGAGAGAGAGAGAGAGAGGGAGAGAGAGAGAGAGAGACAGCGACAAAGTGAAAGAGAGAGAGAGAGAGAGAGAGAGCGAGTGAGAGAGAGAGAGAGAGAGAGAGAGAGAGAAAAAAAAAAAAAAAAAAAAAAAAAAAAAAAGAAGGATGAAAGGGAAATCCAAAGCTCAAAACCTATTAGATTTTATTTGTAAGCGCTTAATGGAAATCAAAGTTTTCATCTGCTCGCGCAGGGTAGCTCATGCGCCTCGTTTTCCCCGGATCATCAACCGCAGCGATGGGCGCGTTCAGGGCGCCGGGGGGGGGGGGGGGGGGGCAGAGAGAAAGAGGGGAAGAGGGGGGGGAGGATGAGGAGGAAGAGCAGGAAGAGGAGAGAGGGAGAGGAGCAGGAGGAAGAGGAGGAGGCGGGGAAGGAGCAGGAGCAGGAGGAGGAGGAGGGGGAGGAGAAAGGAGGAGGAGGAGGAGGAGGAGGAGGAGGAGGAGGAGGAGGAGGGGGAGCAGGACAGGATTCCTTAAGCACTGCTTGTTTCGCTTGAGACGTCCTTGCAGAATTGGTTGCTTCGTTTCAGACATCCTTCAAAAAATGCTTGATTCACTTGAGACATCCCTGAACCAACGCCTGGCTCGCTTGAGACACCCTCGAACGAATGCTTGGGGTCATCTTGGGAACTTTATCGGAGATCCTCTTGGGATTCTCTTGAATTCGTTGAAGATCCAAGCTCCAGGCTCGGGCCACCCCACCCCCCTCTTTTACCCCCCCCCCCCTCCCCCTCCCCCCCCTCCCCCCCCCCCCCCTGCCTCGCTGAGAGCATCTGGTTCGCTTGCGTGCCTTGGGGCGGCACGGCCTCCATGTCCATCTCGCGGAAGCGATTGTGGGCCTCGGAGATGCAGTAGATGCACTCGTAGGGCCCCCAGTTGCTCGGGCACTTGTAGTTCCTGGCGGGCTCGGCCTTGACCTTCTGGAGCCGCCCCTGCTCGACCGCCCAGTGGATTTCGGCCTTGGCCTCGCGGATCGCCGCCTTGAACTGGCCGTGCTCGCGGGCGTCGGGCCCTTGGAAGAAGCTCGTCGCGTCTGGGGCCATCGGCGCGTAGACGATGTTCTTGATCCAAGCTCGGAGCGCCACGCTCTCGGTCCACTGGCTCGACAGGCAGTCTGGCGAAGACGAGGGCATGGCCGTGCTCTTGCTCGATGAAGTCGATGGCCCAGCTGGCAATGAGCTCGTCCGTCCAGGCCCCCGGCTGGCCCCAGACGTCGATCTGCTCGAAGATCTTGGCGCGCTCCTAGGATTCGAACTCGCGGAGGGCTTGGCGCCAACCCTTCATGATCGTGCCGATGTTCTCGCCTGCTCGGAAGACCTCGGTCTCGCCGTCGCTTCGCTCGCAACTGACGTCTCGGAGCCAGGTGCCGTGCTCGAGGTCCATGTCGGAGACCTTGCAGTGCTTCGCGCGCGGGACTAGGAGCACGCTGCGCTTCTTGGCCGACCTCGGTTCCTGGCTCGGGTCGAACCACCCCATGACGCCCGAGGTGTTGATGAGCGTGGGCCTGTGCTTGTCGTCTGCGCTCGAGTGCGCTTGGTCTACTTGCTGCTTCTTGTCGCCATGCAATTCGTAAAACTTGGCTTTCTCGGCCTCCCAAGCTGCCTCGTCTGCTCGGCGTGCGTCTCGCGGAACTTGCGGCCGAGCTTCTGGGTCCTAGCCTTGTGGCTTGCACCCTGGAGCTCGGGCTCGTGGAGGTAGACTGTCTGCTCGCCGCGGAGCTTGAGCCAGAGCGCGGTCGCGTCGACGACGACCGCGCTCGTGTCTCGCCTGCGCTCGGCGACGGCCTCGGGGTCTCCGACGAAAAAGCTGATGTCCTCGGCGCTGCCCTTCGCCGCGAGGTGCTG